TTTCAGTCCCTTCAATGGCACCCTTTCAGTCCTTCAATGGCACCCTTTCAGTCCCTTCAATGGCACCCTTTCAGCCCCTTCAGTGGCACCCTTTCAGTCCCTTCAATGGCACCCTTTCAGCCTTCAGTGGCACCTTTCAGTCCCTTCAATGGTCCCTTCAATGGCGCCCTTTCAGCCTCTCCAGTGGCACCCTTTCAGTCCCTTCAATGGCACCCTTTCAGCCTCTCCAGTGGACCCCTTTCAGTCCCTTCAATGGCGCCCTTTCAGCTCTCCAGTGGCACCCTTTCAGTCCCTTCAATGGCACCCTTTCAGCCTCTCCAGTGGCACCCTTTCAGCCCCTTCAATGGCACCCTTTCAGCTCCTTCAGTGGCACCCTTTCAGCCTCTCCAGTGGCACCCTTTCAGCCTCTCCAGTGGCACCCTTTCAGCCTCTCCAGTGGCACCCTTTCAGCCTCTCCAGTGGCACCCTTTCAGCCCCTGGCACAGCCCTGGCAACCCTTAGCCAGTGGCACCCTTTCAGCCTCTTCCAGTGGCACCCTTTCAGCCCTTTTTCAGGTGGCACCCTTTCAGCCTCTCTGGCACGCCTCTCCAGTGGCACCTTTCAGCCTCTCCAGTGGCACCCTTTCAAGTGGCACCCTTTCAGCCTCTCCAGTGGCACCCTTTCAGTGGCACCCTTCAATGGCACCCTTTCAGCCTCTCCAGTGGCACCCTTTCAGCCCCTTCAGTGGCACCCTTTCAGCCCTTCAATGGCACCCTCTCAGCCTCCACAGTGGCACGCTTCTCAGTCCCTTCATTGGCACCTTCTCAGCCTCACCAGTGGCACCTTCTCAGTCCCTTCATTGGCACCTTCAGCTCACCAGTGGCACCTTTCAGCCCTTCAGTGGCACCCTTTCAGTCCCTTCAGTGGCACCCTTTCAGTCCCTTCAGTGGCACCCTTTCAGCCTCTCCAGTGGCACCCTTTCAGCCCCTTCAATGGCACCCTTTCAGCCTCTCCAGTGGCACCCTTTCAGGTGGCACCCTTTCAGCCTCTCCAGTGGCACCCTTTTAGGGCACCCTTTCAGCCCCTTCACCCTTCAGCCCCTTCAAGTTTCAGCCCCTTCAGCACCCTTTCAGCCCCCTTTAATGGCACCTTTCAATTGGCACCCTTTCAGCCTCTCCAGTGGCACCTTCTCAGTCCTTTTCAGCACCCTTTCAGCCCCTTCAGTGGCACCCTTTTTGGCACCTTTCAGTTTTTTTCAGTGTGGCACCCCTTTCAGCCCCTTCATTGCACTCTTTCAGTCCCTTCAGTGCTTTCAGCCCTTTCAATGGCACCCTTTCAGTCCCTTCAGTGGCACCCTTTTTTTTTAAAGTTCCTTTTCGAAGTCACGTAGGCCTATAGCATTTTTTGTTTTTTTCTTTCTTTTCTTTTCTTTTCTCTTCTTTTCTTTTTTAGTATATTTGAGTTTAACGTTTTTTTTGTTTTTTTTTACTTTTTTCTGTTTCTGGAATCTCGTTTGGTTTGGTATCGATTTTTATGGTATCGATAGTCTGGCGCCTCGGACCCCCCCTCCCCTCCCCCCTTTCCCTTGGCGTTCTAAGCACGTGGTTACTTTGGTTGCTAGTCAATGCAGAAGGTTCTCTCTCTCTCTCTCTCTCTCTCTCTCTCTCTCTCTTCTCTCTCTCTCTCTCTCTTCTCTCTTCCTCTCTCTCTCTCTCTCTCTCTCTCTCTCTCTCTCTCTCTCTCTTTCGCTCTCTCTTTCTTTTCCTCTCTCTTCTCTTCTTTCGCTCTCTCTCTCTTCTTTCTTTCGCTTCTCTCTCTTTTCTTTCGCTCTCTCTCTTTCTTTCGCTCTCTCTCTTTCTTTCGCTCTCTCTCTCTCTGTTCGCTCTCTCTCTCTCTCTCTCTCTTCTCTCTCTCTCTCTCTCTCTCTCTCTTCTCTCTCTCTCTCTCTTCTCTTCTCTCTCTCTCTCTCCTCTCTCTCTCTCTCTCTCTCTCTCTCTCCTCTCTCTCTCTCTCTCTCTCTCTTCTCTCTCTCTCTCTCTCTCTCCTCTTCTCTCTCTCTCTCTCTCTCTCTCTCTCTCTCTCTCTTTCGCTCTCTCTCTCTCTCCCTCTCTCTCTCTCTCTCTCTCTCCTTCTCTCTCTCCCTCTCTCTCCTCTCTCTCTTATCTCTCTCTCTGCCTCGCCTCTCTCTCTCTCTCTCTCTCTCTCTCTCTCTCTCTCTCTCTCTCTCTCTCTCTCTCTCTCTCTCTCTCTCTCTCTCTCCTCTTCTCTCTCTTCCATTCTCGCTCTTTCTGTTGTGTGTGTGTGTGTGCGCGCGCTCTTATATGGGTGGTATAAATATTTGCACGTCTTTACAACATTAATATTAAAGCGAGCAGTGCTACTCGGGACCAACTGGCATAGAGAGGGGGTAGGGTGAAGAGGGGGGGAAGGGGATACCTCATTTCTTATCTGCGTGTACTCCTTCCATCATACTTTTAAAATCTTGTTGGTTCATGGAGATAAAGGGTCCATTTTACGCCCATGATAATACCCGTATTATATAACGCCCAGCGACAAGAGAAAATCCACACGGAGCGGATTTTAACATTCGCATCACGCTGTTGGCGCCAAAATGATGCCATTTTGTTTTTCAAACGACGGTTATTTTCCCGCGCTTTTTTCACTCTATCTCTCTCCCTTTCTCCTTATCTCCCCCCTTTCGCGCCGTGAAATAACCCTCTGCTCATGCTTATTCTTGAAGGTTGCCCAACTAAAAAAGATAATGGCAGAGAGAGGCGACGTGCAGACATTTCTGCTGGTGCTTGCAGGTTGAATAAAGTGGTGACTCACGCTGGCTCGCGGATATGGCGGCCGCCGAGACTCGTTTGGTTTTATATTATTTACTGCTTTTGAGATGTTGCTGTTGTTATGGCTGTTCTATGAGCTGTAATGGGAGCTGTTGTTGGTTTGGTTGCGATAATGTATAATTGCTTGTATTAGTATTAATTGTAGTAATGGTAGTGGTAGTAGTAAGTGTTGTAATAGTAATAGTAGTAGTAGTAGTAGTAGTAATGGTAATAATGATAGTAGTTGTAGTTATAGTAGTAGTAATAGTGGCAGTAGTAGTAGTAGTAATAGTGGTAATTGTAGTAGCAATGGCAATCCTAGTGACAGTAGCAGCAAAAATAGTACTGGTAGCAATAGCACCTTTATACAATAATTTAAAATCTCGTTCTTTCCCTGTGCTACAACGGTTATTCTCCTTTTGGTGTGACATGCTGTCTGTTTATTGTTGCTGCTAAATCACCCCCTGCGAGCAAGGAATGGCAGTGCGGGATTTGAACGCGGGTCAGCCACGGTTGCCAGAACGTACCGCACAGCATTGGTAGTGGTGGTGGTGGTGGTAGCGGTAGGGGTAGTACCAGTAGAATTGGTAGTAGTAGTTGTAGAGGTGGGTGTGGGGGTCATAGTGGTGATAATAGTAGTAAGTAGTAAGTAGTAGTTGTAGTAGTAGTAGATGGTGGTGGGGGTCATAGTAGTGTATAATAGCATCAGCAGCAGCAGCAGTAGTAGTAGTAATAATAGTAGCAGTAGTAGTAGTAATAATAGTAGCAGTAGTAGTAGTAATAATAGTAGCAGTAGTAGTAGCAGTAGCAGCAGTAGTCACTGTAATAAATTAACTTTTTACGATCATTTTACCTCAAGATGTTTTTCTCATTAACCTGTATAAATTTCACATACCGATAATATTCCAAATCATAATAAAATATTCCCTGCATAGCTAACAAGTCCACGCTACCTTAGGTTAAACTTATTCTCACTACAGATGACTGTTCAGTACTAAGGAACAGTGTTCAATGTTATTAATAGTGTTCATTGCTAAGTAATGATGTTCAATGCTAAGTAATGATGTTCAGTGTAGTGATGTTTAGTATTAATGACTGGTGTTCAGTGCTAAGTAATGATGTTTTAATGATGTTTGATATTAAATAGCGGTGTCCATTTCTAAGGAAGAAGGCACATTTTCATGAAATAATTGCTTAGTTTAGAGGGAAATAGAAATGATATGCAAGATTTTACTTAAATTCCACGTAGTGAATATATATTACATGTATTTTGAATTGCAGTTGAAAAGTAGCATTTATCAGCTGACTTGTGGTTTTCGGGAAGTTTAAAAGTGCAACGTAAGCAGTGGAGTTGTTTGTAAAGCAGAAACAAGCAATTTGAGTAATTTGCAGGGTTTTTCCTTCTCTCTTTTTCTTCTCTCCTTTCTTATTATGTTTATATATATATATATTATATAGTATATATATATATATTATATATATATATATAATATATATTCCCTCCCTTTCCCTTATGTCTCTACCCCCTCTCTCTCGTCTTAAACTCCCTTTCCTCCCTCTCTTTCTCGCTTCTCCTTCTTCTACCTCTCCCCCTCTCTCCGCTCATCTTCATCTCTGTCTCGCCTACCGCCCCGCTCCCCCCTCTCTCTCTCTCATCTCTCTCTCTCTCTTCCTTGCCATCCCTCCCTCCCTGCTCTCCTCTCCTCCTCCCCTTCTCCTCTCACTTCTCCGCTCGCTCTCTCCTCTCCGTTACGCTCCCTCTCTCTCCTCTGCCTTCCTCCTCCTCTCTCCTCTCTTCCCTCGCGCTCCTCTCCGTCCCCTCCTCTCTCCTTCCTCCTCCTCTCGGCTCGCTTCCTCCTCCTCTCTCTCTTCACCTTCTCCCTCCCTGACCTTCCGCTCCCTCGCGCCTCCCTCCTTCCCGCCTCCCTCATCTCCTCTCCTCTTCCGCCTCCGCTCCTCTTCTCAACCTCCCTTACCCTCCCTCTCCTCGTCTCCTCTCCTTCCCTCCTCTCTCTCTCCACTTCCTCCTCCTCCCTCTTCCTCGTCCTTCCGCTGCTCCCTCCCTCTCTCCTCTTCCCTTCCCTCCTCCCGTCCCTCTCTTTTCGCTCATCTTCCTCCCTTCCCTCTCCCTCCCTCCCCCCTCTCTCCTCTCCCTTCCCTCCCTCCTCTCCCTCTCTCCTCTCCCTTCCTTCCCTTTATCTCTCCTCTCCCTTCCCTCCCTCCCTCTTCTCTCTCGTCCTTCCTCCCATCATCCTTCGCTCGCCGCTGCTCTCTCTCTTCCCTCCCGCCCCCTCGCGCTCCCTCTCTCAACTCCTGTCCTGCGCTCTCGTCTCCCTCTATCTATTCGTATCGTATCCGGTCATCTCTCTTCATGCAAGTATAGAGAGTGCAGAGTCAATAAGTGGTGTTCCGTTGCCACAGCATAGAAAGGAAGAGAAAGGAATGTACAGGAATTGAAACCGTTTCCTCACATCCCAGCGGTGAATCACATGAGGAATTTAACGTAATTTAAACGAAAATTCAAAGCCATGCGAATATAAAAAGCTTGTCCCGCAGCTGTAAGATATTAATGATAATGAAGACGGCCATTCTAAAAGATAAGGAAGAAGAAAAAAAAGACAAGGAGACAAAATGATACGATCCTTCAAAAATGTAGTTGTCCTTCAAGCAATTTAGAAGCCAGGCTGGCGATTGTCTCTACGACACGCGGCAATGCCCTGAGCCAGCCCGAGCGCCCATATTGTATTTTTTTTTTTTCTTTTTTATTCCTTTTTTTGGTTATTTTCCAACGCCCGATCGTCTGTCTTGCGTGCCTGCATGCGGCAGGGTGGCAATGCTTCGGATCAGGACTTTTTGCTTTAGGTTGATAATCTCCCAGCTTGTTTTTTCTTTTCCCCCTTTCCTTCTGTGCTCGTGTCGATCAGTTTTAACCGGGTCGAGATGTTAGAAAAGTTACATACAGTCCGGGGTCCTTCGCGCCCGGAACCCTGCCAGGATGGGTAGGTATTGTTTGACCGCGAGGTCTGCGAGACAGCGGCACTCTCTCCAGCTTTTGTTTGTTGTTTTTTCTTCCTGTCTTTCTTCTTTCTTTTTGTGGTGGTGTTTGATTGTTTCTTGTTTTTGTTTTGTGTTTGTTTGTTTCTTGTTTTGGGTTTGGTTTGGTTTTGTTTTCTTTTTTCTTCTGCGTTTTCTGGTTCTGGTGGGTTCTATTGTTTTTCTCTTTTTCTTTTGTGGCTTTCCTTCTTCGGTCTGGTGTTTGTGCTGGTTCTTTTTTTTTTTCGTTTTTTCTTCTCTCTCTCTCTCTCTCTCTCCTGTCTCGTCTCTCTTTCTTCTCTCTCTCTCTCTCTCTCGTTGCTCTCTCTCTCCTTCTCTCTCTCTCCCCCTTTCTCCTTCCCCTCTCCCTTCACCTCTCTCTTCCCTTCCCCCCCTCCCCTTCCCCCCTCTCCCTTTCTTCTCCTCCCCTCCCTCCCTCCCTTTCCCCCCCCCCCCCTCCCTCCCTTAACAAACAAACACAAACACCGCATCAAGACTTTGGTTTAAGAAAGAATAGAGTATGTTAATTGCTTAACCTAAGACACAAATAGACTACTGTATACTTGTGCTTGAAACATTATAGAAATACTATAGTTTTTTTCTTCCGTGAAAACTGCATAAAAATGTAGTGTGTGTGTTTGATATTTTTTAAATTGATTTATGTGTTTTTTTATGTTTTATTTTGTTGTAGATTACGTAAGAGAGAAGGAAAATTGAGTTTAAGACCGTTTGTCTAAATTCACTTGCTATTTATTTTATCTTTATTTATCATTTTTTCATTTGTTTACATCGTCTGTCGATCTATTGTTGATTTATTCAGTTATCTGCCATTTCGTCTATTTCTATATCTTTTTCGGTTAGATTTTCCTGTATACTGAGCTGTAATTTTGAGCACGGATGCCAGTGTGTGTATATACATTTATAATTTGAGCACGGATGCCNTTTCTTTCTTTTCCCTTTCTTTTCTGTTCCCTTTCTTTTTCTTTATCTTTTTTTCTTTCTTTTTTCCTTGCCCCTTTGGGGCTTTGCTTTTGCTTTTGCTTGCCCCCTTTGCCTTGCCTTGGCCTTGCCCCCTTGGCTTTAAAAAAATTTTAATTTTAATTTTTTTATTTTTTTTATTTTATTTAAAATTTTTTTTTATTTTTATTTTTATTTATTTTTTTTTCCTTTTTCTTTTCCTTTTTTTCTTTTTCTTTCCTTATATTTTTCCAACTACGTTTTTTTTTTCTTCTTTTAATGAGGCACTTTTTTTTTTTTTTTTTTTTTTTTCTTTTTTACTCTTTGGATTAAAATACGAATAAATCCATGTAATATCTCCTATCAATCAGACACATTAACGAAAATATCTATGATGATCTAGCCGATTATAGTAAAAAAAAAAAAAAAAAAAAAAAAAACTATATACTTAAAACCATAAAAGTCTTGTACTCAGTGCAATAGTATTAGTAGGACTTGATCACTTTTTGTCCTTTGTTTGGAAGGGAAAATAAAGACGAAAAGATTAATTGAAAGTTAATCACAACAGGTTCGAAATTTGTTGATATGATTTCGTTTAAAAAGGATTAGGATAAAGTCATCAGTCTTTTTGTTATTAAAGTGTGATCTTTAACACAGGTTCGAAAATCTTGTTGATATGATTTCGTTTATAAAGGATTTAGGATAAAGTCATCAGTCTTTTTTTGTATTAAAGTGGTGATCTTTTTTCGTCAAGAGCTGAAGATAAAATTGTCGATATTATTGGTGTTATTATTATTATTTTATTAATAATATTATTATATTATTATTTATTATTATTATTTGGTTTATAAAATTGTTGGTATTACTTGTATTATGTCCTTATTGGTCTAGAAAAATCGTTTTTGAATTGTGTGAAGGATAAAAGATGTAAATACAGATTAAAATAAGGTTAGATGAATGGCGCGTGTTTGGATTCGATTGTATCTGGAAAATTAATACAGTGATTAAAAATGATAATGTCAAAACGTAAAATAAATTTATTTTTACTAAACTACACATTGCTTTCTAGATTATTCATTTCCAGCAGGTTATTCATTTTTTAGCAAGTTATTTATTCACTTTCAATCAAATTCACTTCCAATCAAGGTATTTTCACTTTCAGTCAAGGTATTTTCACTTTCAGTCAAGGTATTTTCACTTTCAATCAGTTTATTTCACTCTCAAGCAAGTTATTCACTTTCAATTTAAGAAATTAATAATGTTTAGATATAAAAAAGGCGTCAAGCTTGGGTCTGCTTCGGCCATTTCAAGCACTATCATCCCCGTCTTCTAAGATGGTCGAAAATCGTATCCAGACTGGTTATCAAGCCTTCCTTACCTCCCTCCAAGAACTCAATTTTTATTTTTTATCTATTTATTTTATTTTATATATATATATTTTTAAGGGGGGGGGCTGTGATGCTTTCGGCTTTTTTATATGTTCCATTTTTTTTTAATAGCGCGTGCTTGCAAATTTAGTCACGGCTTTAGAGAAATATAAACAATTTAAATAATTACTTATATGATGGTTAAATTTCACAAATCATAGCCTGTCGCCTCTTCTGCAAAGTCTTCGAATGACAAGTTAATATTCCATACCCAGTGAATGAAAAAGATCATATCGTTAAAATATGTTTTACTACTTTTGAGTTACATTTTCTAACCTTCAATTAAATTGTTATATTTTTTACCTTTAAATTAAATTAAGTTACATTTTCTAACCTTTTAACTAAATTACATTTTTTAACCTTTAATCAAGTTACATTTTTTAACTCAATGAAATTGTCAATTTTCTAACTTTTGATAAGTTACAATTTAAACTTTTTGATTAAATTAAGTTACAGTTTCTAACTTTTGAATTAAATTTAAGTTACAGTTTCTAACTTTTAATTGAATTAAGTCACACTTCCGAGCAATGCCTCTCTCTCCTCCAAATCCACCGTCAAAACTTCCAGAAACTAGAACTTCAACTCACAAACGAAGCCAGTAAGATATCCACAGATCTTGTCATCCACGCCATCCACAAACAGGGGGGATGCCATTCCACATTCATCATCAACCGCCCCATTGGGTTGTGTGGACTGCCACTCTGTCACGGGCCTGCCATCTAACCAGGTCCTGGATCTTATGCCAATCCATATGTCTGGAAATGAAGGAAAGGAATTGTGATGTATATAGGTTTCGAGAGAGAGAATATATATGTGGAGAGAGAGATCTATGGATGAATGCATGGATAGATAGATATAGCCATATATATGCAAATATATACATGTACTTATACACTAATATAATGTGTGTGTATGTATATATATATATATATATATATATATATGTATATATATGTATGTATATGTATATATGTATGTATGTATGTATGTATGTGTGTGTGTGTGTGTGTGTGTGTGTTGTGACAAATGTACACGTGTGTTTGTATAATTGTGTTTTTATGTGCATGCATATGTATGTGTTTTTATATATACATGAATTTTGTCGACTTACGACCTATTCACCTTACGACTTGATCGACCTTACGACCACCCACGACTAACACTGCGTCTAGCCACTTATCCTTCCTACATCAACCTCAAACCACTCCCACACCTTGCCCGAAGGACGCCGCCCATGCAGTGAAGGCGGTCACGTCTGCAGGAACGGAGAGATCGGCGCCCAGGTCCTTGCAGAGGAGGCGGGCGTCGCACCAAGTGACCGTCGCGTTGTGGTAGTAGACGCAGCCGGCGTTGGGCGCGGGCGTGAAGGGCGCGGCGCAGGAGGGGGACCTGAGGAGGAATAGATGTGGAAGTTGTATCCGTTTGTGTGTGTGTGCGGGTGTGGGGGGGGGGGGGTGACGTATGTGTAGTTACGTAATACAGTAAGAACGAGCGAGAGAGAGAGAGAGAGAGAGTGTGTGTGTTGTGTGTGTGTGTGTGTGTGTGTGTGTGTGTGTGTGTGTGTGTGTGTGTGTGTGTGTGTGTGTGTATATAATGATAATGACAAATAAAAAGGAAATAATATAATAATCTATTATGCGATAATTCTAAAGGGAGCCAAGGATGACAAATAAGAAAAAAAAGAAAAAACTAGCTTTAGTTTTGTTATTACAAAGAAACTAATAAGAACGAAGTAAAAAAAAATAGCTTTAGTTTTATTATTACGATCAGACTTACCTCGTGGAGCTGTGCTGATGGCTGTGTGTTCCCAGCATTTCATGGGCGTGCAGTCTCCCACAAAGTCTTCATCGTGTTCGTAACCAACTCCATTGAAAACGCAACCTATTTTGAAACGTGAGGTTAGTTTATTAGAGTAAGAGACAATAATACTTTCCTTCTATATGTAGACTATAAGTTATCATAACTGGGATAGGCCTATACATTTGCGAAGTTTTCCCGTAAGTCCATGAGATATTTATAGGATGCTTATATATATATATATATATATATATATATATATATATATATATATATATATATATATATATATATATATATATTATATTATATATTATTATATATTATATATATATATATTTTTTTTTTTTTTTTTTTTTTTTTTTTTTTTTTACTCGTAATTATGATGTGCAACGCTTGCTAAAGAGATTTTCTGCACAATGCACAATAATCTGCCCAAGGATAGACATACCGTATATACATATATCGAGATAAGACAGTGCAAAAAAAAAAAATACAGCTAATATATTACCACGTCGGAATTTTTTTAAAACTAGTGTGAACCATATACGACCAGATAGAACCAGACAGGACCTGCCATGTGTCCAGAGTGCCCAGCCAGGCGTAGTGTTTCGCACATGATCATTCCTTGAATAACACCGCGCATAATACTTCTCGGTGGAGCAACATGCACAGAGACTTATTCCCTCTTTTCGTCGTAGTTTCGTGGTTTATGATTCATTGAAGAAAGAACGGAGATCGTCGATATACTGAATCGAAAATGATTTTATCGATGCTAGTCTGACGGGTCGTCGTTCATTTGTTTTTGGTCGTAAACACGATTTCTGTGATGATTATTGCAAGATGTTTTGTATAAAGTTTCTAATATAACTTTAATTGACCTTGTGAGTACTTAAAGATGATATTTATGTTAAGCGAATTACAGACAATAGTTTTTAATTGCACCTTTTAAAGCCCGGAGATACCCGTGGGAGAGAACGGTCGTGTTATCACTGGCTTCCCTCAGACCCCAGATTTCATACCCAAAAGTGACGGGTTTTGGCCCAGGAACCCGCGTATACAAAGCCAGTTGAACCGCGCCTTAATCGAACCTAAAGGAATTTTAACGATAACCGTTACCATCATTGTCATCACTACTTAATCATGTGCAGTGGGACCTCCATCTAAAATAAGTACTATAGATTTATTTTATCGTATGGGACCTAATCCTAATCGAAAAAATGTGTCAGCAGTTAAGAAATACTACAGATACTCCACTGTGTCTCGTGTAGCAGGGCGTCGCAGGTGCCACAGGGGAGTCGTCGTGGTAGCCAGCCACAGTCACGTTGTAGAGGGCGCACCGACCGCCCTCGAAGCAGAACACTTCACACCAGGGCGTCTTGGTAGCTTTCAGGGCACAGGTCAGGTCTCGGATATCATTCACTACCATCCGTTTCGCTGCTGCAAGGCTGGTATCGTTGACCGAGGCGGGGTACCAGGCGACCATCCCGGACACGGTACCTAGTGCTCTCCAGAGAACCCCCAGTAGCAGAAGGTTTGGTATCTTGCTGGGAGTCATAACGGCTTGCAACTGACCACAAGTTCAGGTTACTTAGTGTTCACTGCTTGCGAAATCGATAGTAGTTTGTTTATATGTGTTTACTGAAGACCTGCCGTGGGTAAGGAATATAAGTGTAGTTAATGTATTACTGATAATCTTGAATAATATCCTGTTTTTTAATCTTTTAGGAGAGAAGTGATTATCTTCATTCTTCTGTTGTGCACAGAATGTGTTATCTATATTTGCAATGAACTGGGTGCAGACCATGATCATTATCTGTAATATTTTGATTGTCTGTATTTCTCTGTCTTTGTGGGTTTATTTATTTATAGAGAAATTGCATGTATACTTTATACATACATATAAGTATATGCATGTGTGTAATATATATATATATATATATATATATATATATATATATATATATATATATATATATATATATATATATATATATATATATATATATATATATATATATATATATATATATATATATTATATATGTGTGTAGAGAGAGAGAAAGGGGAGAGACTGAGATAGAACAAACAGAAAGAGAGGCAGCTAGACCAATAGACAGACAGAGAGAGAGGCAGGTAAAGCGAGAGACAGACAAAGACTAGGAGAGAGAGACAGAGACAGAGAGAAACAGCGCGAGAGAGAAAGAAAGAAAAGGGGAAAGAGAGAAAGAGAAGAGCGTAAGGTACAAAGAAAAGCTAAAGAGAAAAGGAGAGAACATTCCAAACAATGACAAAACATATACTGTATATACTGTCACCAATCACCCATAATACGTTTCGTTATGGTTTGAGTCCACGAAAGAAAATTAGGTTACCTCAAGTATTTGGCTCAGAACTAAATAGCACAATTAATCAATTTTATTACTCTACAAATTCAAAAATATGAATCGGTTAAACTTTATCCCTTAATCCCTGAATTACT